CCCCCCCCACTTCCCAGTTTCTGGAACCCCCTCGAGAGCTGCTGTGCCCCGAAGGCTCCTGGATATTTTCTGGCGGCACACTGTCCAGCTGAGGAACTAAGGTAGGAACCGGGGATGGCTGCCGGGCCCAAACCCAAACCCCTAAACCGGCTCTGAAGTCCGGGCTTTTCACCGTCAACCTCCCGACCCCTCTTGCAAGACAAACGCAAACAAAATTAGGCATAACGCACCCTTCCCCAAAACATTTCCTTCCGCCCCATCTTCACAAACTGCTAGGGCTCACACTCATGCACGCGCGGGTGAATGCCTGCCCGCTCAGCCCCGCAGCTTTCGGCTCCTGTCCAGCTTGTCCCGGACTCGCGGGGAAGTGGGCACTCGCACATCCCGGGATCGCGAGCGCTTTCCCCTCCCCGCCTCTGCACCCACTGCGGGCTGCCACTAGGCTATCCCGAACAGCTACCCGGATTCCACGCGCCTGCTCCCTGCTCTCGCTGGTGGCCCGGGTCTCGCGCTCTTCCGGGGCCCCTCCTACGCACCCAGGCCCTCGGGCGAGGCGTCCCACAGGTGCCAGACTCCCCGTGGCACTGAGGCTCTCGGCGTTAAAGGACCACGCAAGACTTCCCTCTCTCCGCCCAGAATTCGTTGGGACCGAATCTCGGCAAATCCCGCGTCGGCCGAGGGCCGCTGCAGCGGGGAAAGGCCCGGCTGGCGGCGGGGCCCGCTCACCCAGTCCCGCGTGCGGCGGAGGCCGGAGGGGAGGTAACTGCGAGGGTCACAGCAGAAAGCTCACAACTCCCCGCCCGCCACCTTGCCGGCCGGAACGCTGTTCAAAAATAAAAAAAAGGGACTAATTATCCGAATAATTGTGTATAGAGGTGAGGGGGAAGGAGAAGAGGAATGAACGAACCTGCCTGGGCAGAAAGGCCTGCTTTCTTCCTTGCCTTGAGAGAGCCGACTGCACTGACCAAATCCCCGAAGGAGTGAGCCCTGAGCACCCAGCGGGTAGGTAGCTCAGTGGGCAGTGGACCGCTGGGCCCAGAAACCCATGCAGGGCTGGGGTCCTAGAAGCCGTGCTGTGCCTTGGGTGGCACACAGAGAATCTGGCTCAACCTGTTAACTATAATAGCGGCTTTGTGTGCCGGATCTGTGCTTGGGGGCTGTGTGGGCATGGCCTGAGCACTGCCTTGTGATGTCCCCACCGTGGTGGCAGGTGTGGGGTTTGCTCTGGGCTCAGGACTCAGTCGGGCATCCTGTTTGTGGTGTGAGTGACTTGCAGGTGGGCAAAGTAAGTTCCAGGTGTATGAGACAACTAAGCAGGTACCTCCCACTTCGCTGTAACGAGCTGGAGCAGCTGGGAATCAGCGGGCAGGCTACGGTGGTGGGAAGAGGAGTTAGCTGTGGCCCCGGCCACCCTGAGGACCCCCCAGGCTAGTTGTGGGAGGAAACCCCCTCGCTCATGCTCTGCTACCCTTGCTCCCTTCACACCCACCTCCACACACTCCTCACTCCCACGCAGCCCCACAGTACTGCTCCGAAACGGCAACTCCCCCTCCTAGGCGCTCCCTAATCAGCTCAGAGCTTGGAGCCCCACGGCTAAGCCGCTGCCTGGGCAACTAACAGGAGCTGCCTGGGCTTTTTCCAAATGGCACGAATCCACTGCCCAAAGTCGTCCCAGGGAAGCCGGTGGCACCACTCACCTGCACCCACGCCTGGATTCTTTATCCAGGGAGTCCAATAGAAGCAGACTGAGCAAGGCGGAGGGCTGGAGCCAGTTTGGATTTTCCAAGGAACTCACAGCAGACTCGAAAGATGGTGTGTTCCGTGGAGCGGGGAGGGATAGGGGTCAGTGGAGGGAGTGATGGGTATCCATGTTGTGTTGAGGGGTGGGTACAAACTCATATCCTCTCATTCATAGCCTGCACTGTGTACAGCCTCCTCCAGCTCATGGGGTGTGCCATGTTACTCAAGGGGAGCTACAGGTGTGCGGTGCTAGTTCTCTCTCTCTCTCTCTCTCTCTCTCTCTCTCTCTCTCTCTCTCTCTCTCTCTCTCTCTCTCCACTGCTGGGGTTAGCAGTTACTCTCACAAGCGCAGCCCCTCAGGGCCCCACCAAGCTCCTGAGGGGGGTTTACCCCAGGCCACCCTGTCCTGAGTATCCCTCCTCCCTTTCCTCTCTCCTCTTCCCCCCTAGCCCGGAGGGAGGAGGGTCTAATTCGCCTGCTAGCTGGCCTAGGGGTGGGAATTTCCGAGGCCCTAGCGTTAGCTTCTAGCCCTGCAGCTCGGGAAGCCACACACCCCATGAGTCTGAGACTGGGCTTGGGGGCCACGGGCCTCCCTAGATTCTGACCCAGGACCCTAACAAGGCCCAGAAAGTCCAGCGGCCGCCGCTGCCTCCCCGAAGCCTACAGAAATCCGGTATCCTTGTGTATGCTAGAAGGTGGTGGAGGGCTGGGATGCGAGGCCCCCAGTGCTGTGTGCCGCCCTAAAGGGTAGGCTTGGTGGGAGCTGCTCCTGTTCCCTCACGTTTTCCGCCCTGTTGTCCCAGAACCCACATATCTTTGGCTCCTGCGGGAGGAGTCGCTAATTCAAAAGAGGGAGGGCAGCGTCGGCGCCTCAACCGCCGCCCAGAATGGGAGCCGGACCTGGGGCTTCAACGCAAAAATGCAGGACCAGTGGGTTCCGGGCGCCCTCTAGGGGCTGCGTGGGGAGACGCGCCTCTAGACATGGCCCTGGGAGCTTGGGGTCTGAGGGACACTTGGAACAGCAGGGGTGGCTGCTTCCAGCCCGTTTGGAAAGTAATAATGATAATAATATTAAAAAGTGGCATTATTGAGGGCTTTCTGTGTTCTAGGCACTGCACTAGTTTTTAAAAGTATTAATACGTACTTAACAACCACCCTATGAGGTAGGTGGTATTTTCATCCCACTTTATAGGCAAGGAAAATTGATACCCAGAGAGGTTAAGCAATTTGCCTAAGAGCATGTGGCTGATAAAAAGTGGGGACCAGCATTCCAATTCACGGTCTGGGAGGTTTGGCTGAGTCCAGGCATGTGGTGGATTTGGGCTGGAGGTGAGACCCTACCAGCCTCAAGGGATGTCT